ACCCATGATGGAATAATTTAGGAGAGTAGAGATGGATTAGATAAAAAAAGGTGAAAGCCAATGGAGCCAAATACCTTAAGCATGCAACAACCCTTCATACAATAGGGCCAATTTGTCCTAAACACACATTAAAGAAGCGGCATAATTCAATAATAACCGGATCAATAGGGGGTCTAAAGTCTAACGTAAAGGGGTACGTATACATAAAAGAAAAGTCAGCTTTAAAAGAAGTGATCCTTTGATTTGCATTAGGTATCAGAATTGGGAAATCCAACTTCCAATGACAATCTTTACGAACAACAGAGATCAAACCTTCTGTAATCTATGAAGGGTAAACATCGGCACGATCATGAGAGGACATAGAGGAGACCTGGTTTCTAATCGACTCTCTGTCGGTATAAAAAAAGAGATCAATAGGAATAATTTCGTCTACTGTAGGCTCACGAATTGGCTCACCAGAATCCCTACCTCTAGCAAAAGACCTATGAGAAAGAGAAGGCCTAGTTCTAGAAGATGATAGAGGAGTAGTACTAGGTTGAGAAGGAGAACCTCGAACAGAAACTGATCCTAAACTATGCAGCCTACCTCCTCTCCTACTTCTCGTAGGAGTGAGGGAAAGTCCATCAACAATAAGAACCTTCTGAGGATCAGGGTGTGAAGAAGACATAGTTACGCAAAGATGAAGAAAAGATTGAATGGCAAAGTATGGGAAACCTTTTTGTGAAAGAAAAGACAAAGGATATATTTATACTTGGAAGCAACCGTCAAACAAAAAGTTAATTATGGAAACGTCATTATGCAAACTGTCATTTCGTGATTGATGCAGCCGTAAAAAAGCCCTAAAAGAGCTGAGGAGTTACAGAACCAATCGAAGGGCACCACGTGTCACACACAGAAGCGTCTGTTTAGAAAAAGGTATAATGGAATGTGGGAATCGGCAGCAAAAATTACCGCTTTAATGAGATCCACTTCCCAAATATTCAATTGCTGAATAAATGGCAAGTGGGGGGACTATCTGTATTGGGGAAAAATCGATATTACACTTGGAATTAATTATGTGGTTGACATGTCAAGAAACGTGGATTATTATAAGAGTGACTGCTGACAAAGAGTACTTAAAAAGACGCGAGTCTTAACAGGTACAAGCGAAGTATCACGAAGGAAAGAAAGAACGGTCACTCGGGCCTCTTGATAATTTGAAGAGGCGCCGATGGAATGAATCAAGTCAGCAGAAAGTACAGATTCGTAATATCTTCAACTAATCAGCGTAAATGATAGGAAACGTTATAGAATCTTCACGAAATAGTTACGATTGCCAATTATAACATCTTATTAATGTCATTAAATGCTCATAATGACTCTATTATAAGAGAAAAAAATGTTGTACTTGGAAATAACTATAAAAGGGAGAGAAATAACATTTGTATAAACACATTGATGATTATTGGAATATAGTTAATTACATTGCTTTATTTTGCTTACTCGACTATTTCGCAGTCTATTTTTCCTTTCTTACTATACAATTATTTCTTTATTTGATTATCAGTAACCCGAGTTCTAAAAATACGCTTTGACCGAAATTCCAATTTTCGGGTTAAACAAATTGGTTCAGTTACCGGGAATCTGATAATCTTTTACTTTCTAAATCAGTTCTTTTGTCAAAACAATCATGTCGAACGTTAACGACAACAACCAACAAAATCAACAACAGCAGTTGAATAAGCAAAATCAACAAGGAGATGGAACTCCAATCTCCTCACCACGAAACTCTCCTCGACAGTCTCGCGAAGGGACGCCTGATAGATCTGAATCGCATATGAATGACTAGCGTGGGGACGATCAAGATATCGATGCAGCATCGAAACAATCAATTGCAGAACATGTCAATAATGCTCTTCAAGCTTTTGTTAGTAGGTTGCCAACCGTACCACCAACTCTATCTCCAAACAACACCGTGACCATAGAGAACCCACGCTCAGGACTCGTTAACTCAGGTAGCGGAGGAACTCCTAGCGAATCTTGTGATGGAGGGTCAGGTAACCCAGTTAATTCTGATTTACAAAGTTTAGTACTAACTCTGCATAAATAGCTCAAGGAACAGAGCGATCGCATAGAGAAAATACCTGGAATACCGCCCGTAATCAAGGGGATAGATATGGAAAAATACTCTCAACAACCTTGGAAGCCAAGTGCCGCTCCTTTATCAATTCCAAAGAAATTCAAGATGCCTGATATCCCGAAGTACGATGGAACAACTGACCCACGGGATCATGTGACTGCATTTACAACTGGTGTAAGGGGCAACGATTTGACCAAGCAAGAAATTGAATCAGTCTTGGTAAAAAAATTTGGAGAAACACTCACGAAGGGAGCGTTAACATGGTATTCTCTTTTACCTGAAAATACTATTGATTCTTTTGCTGAGCTTGCAGATTCATTTATCAAAGCACACTCAGGAGCTCAAAAAGTTAAAAAAAGAATGGAGGACATTTTCAAAATAAAACAAGGAGATACGGAGCTGCTTAGAGAATTCGTAGACAGATTCCAGCGGGAAAGGATGATGTTGCCACGCGTACCTGATAATTGGGCGGCTATGGCCTTTGCCAGTAATCTTAATGAAAAAAGCTCTGAAGCCACAAGAAGACTCAAAGAAAGCTTACGAGAATTCGCTGCAACAACTTGGAATGATGTTTATAATAGATATTGTACAAAGCTGCGGAGAGAAGAAGATACCATTACTTAGTCTCGGAAAGATGAAAGAGTAAGTTCAAGGCGGGCAGAAACTGAAAAAAGGTCCGATAAAAATAGGTACGAACCTTATATGGGAGCAGCAGGAAGGGATTCCTGTTCAAAACAGGAAAACCCAAGGTTTTATCCTAGATCAAGGGATAGAGAATCAGGTTCGTTGTCAAGGTTCAGAAAAGAGGAAATATGAGGGACATGCGAGACGACGACAGAGGTTCAAAAGCAAAAATTGGTGGTTACAGTTTTAACGTGAGCACGTCCGAGTTGGTGGCTGTTCTAAGAAGTATGGGAGATAAGGTCCGATGGCCAAAAGAAATGAGATCGAATCCAAACAGGAGGAATCCTGAATTTTGGTGCGAGTTTCACAATGATCACGGTCACAAAACGGTGGATTGCAGATTACTACAAGGTGAAGTTGACCATCTATTAAAGCAAAGGTACTTAATACAATTGTTTACTGAAAAGGGAAAGCAGGCATATATGAAGAATAGGCAGGAACCGCCGAAACCTCCATCACCAAAACGAATGGTTAACGTCATATGTGGAGGAGAAGAGATCAATGGCGTAACATACACGGCAGCAAAGAAGGTGTCAAAAATCACAGTCACCCACGGGAAGCGAGTCCGTCAAGTCTTGGAAGAAGACAGAATAACATTTGATGATGCAGATGCAAACGGCGTGCTGACCTCACACAATGATGCACTGGTAATATCTTTACTTGTACATGATACTAATGTAAAACGTGTTTTGATTGATCTAGGTAGTTCTGTGAATATCATTCTGTTGAGAGTGGTGAACGAGATGCAAGCCAATGATAAGTTGATACCCAAGGCACGAACCTTGTCTGGTTTTGATAACTCGAGCGTCGTAACCAAAGGGGAAATAATACTCACCACATTCGCAGAAGGAGTAGTCAAAGACATCAAATTTCAAGTGATAGAAATGGATATGGCTTAAAAATATGATCCTCGGCAGACCATGGATTTACGAAATGGATGTTGTTCCATCCACCCTAGGCTGATTAAAGGTTTGAAATTATTATCTTTAACTAGGATTAACCTCTTATATATTAAATTAATTAGTTTAACCAAAGGTTCATATTTTTTGGTCAAATAATTTGGAGCCGTCTGTGGGGATTTCCTAGCCAAATTTTTAGTTTCTTCCAGACTACAACTAGTAAAAAAAACACAAAACCCTATACTTTCTTGTGCATACAGATCTAACATGGCAGGTAACGGAGAAGAAAAGATGAAGGCGGTAGACGATCTCACCACCAACCTCTTAAACACCATCAACGAGGTCTCTGCAACAGAGAGTGAGGATGTAACACCAAACGCCTTTCCCAGGAAAAGTGGCTCACCCTTCCTCATGGTAGTATCACAACGTCCCACGGTAAAGAAGCCTCCATGTCCATAATAGAAGAGGCACCGCCGGTGGTGAAGATGCTGCTCAAAGCTTGGCTGACGAATACGTTGACCAGCAACCTTGACAAACCTGCTCAAAAGGCAATCAGAGAGTGTGGAAGGACCTGCATTGCACCAATAATAGTCGAGCAACACGACCCTCCTCCTCGCGTAACAGGTATCACTCACAATATTAACAATGCAGGTGACGACACCCTCACAACCATTTTAAGGAAGGTGGAAGAGATGGAGAATGAAAACAAAATGCTCTGAGACCGAATGAAAAAGCATCAAGAAAGGGTAGACAAAATACCGAGCGCCCCAAAACTCTTACCAAAAAGAGACGTTGGCCGATTTTTTGAGCAGCTTACAGTGATGAAGCCGCACCAAATGCCATATCTAAAACTTTCAAAATGCCGCCCTACCTGAAAATATACGATGATACGATAGACCCTGAGGATCATGTGACTCACTATGTCGCTGCAGTAAAAGGCAATGACCTTGCCAAAGAGCAAGTATCCTCCATCTTATTGAAAAAGTTTGGCAAAACCCTCACCGGGGGGCGCATTAACTTGGTATACACAGCTGCCTGCGCGCTCCATTGAAACATTCAAAGAGATGGCCGACAAGTTTGTAACGGCCCATGCCGGAGCTAAGAAGGCAGAGGCAAGAATGAATGAAATATTTGCCATCAAACAATCACTCGGAGAAGGACTGAGGGACTTCCTCACTCGATTCAACCGTGTAAGGATGACTTTACCGAATTTATCGGAAGGAATGGCTGTAGCAGCTTTCTAGAATGGGTTAAACAAGAGAGGTTCAAGGGCGACTAGAAAGTTCCTGAGTCGGCTCATGAAATATCGCCCGACCAATTGGGATGAAATACAAAATGCCTATTGCGCCGAAGTCCAAGCTGACGAAGATGACCTAAATGGACCAACCCATCAGCTAACCTCAGTACAAGCCGAGTCTAGAAAGGATCGGAGAAACGACAACAGAAGGGATCTATCAGGTTCACGACCCAACCGGAAAAGACATCAACCATATGTCAGAGGCGCTATCATAGTGCCTTCCCGCCACGACGAAGGCCCATCTAGGCCAAGAACAGGGACTCACCGAAACGAGAGAGGTATGCCTCCATTACTATCTGCTCACAATTTTTGTGTTTCACCCTTAGAAATAGTCTACGCATTGGAGAAGCTCGGCCCAAAAGTGAAGTGGCCACAGAAGATGAGGTCCGACCCGAACACCAGGAAGTCAAACGCCCTCTGCGAATCCACCAGGAACGAGGTCATAAAACCAAGGACTGTATCGCTCTAAGAAAAGAAGTCGTGAACATGCTTCACCAAGGGCACTTGAAAGGGCTGTTGAGCCACCGAGGAAGAGCCAATTTTGCTCGAGGACGTGAACAGCACCAGGGCCCACCAAAACTACCTTCTCCAACTCGAGCCATTCAAATGATCATCGGAGGGGGTGATGACGCATCAATCAACAACGTAAAATTCACCACCACCCACCAACTCAAACGGTCGATCACTCATGAACGGTACGACGAACTCGAAGAAAGTATCATCTTTGATAAGTCAGATACCCACAGTTTGGTTTTTCCTCACTATGATGCTCTTGTTTTCACATTACGCATATTAGGTACAGATGTGAGACGAACTATGGTGGACGATGGGAACGGCGCATGAATTATACACCCTCGAGTACTTGCACAAATGAAACTCGAGGATAAGATAGTGCTACTCTACATCACACTAGCCGGTTTTAACAATGCAGTTGAATGAACATCTCGAAATAATCACACTCCCCCTCCTGGCCGGCGACATCACTCTGGAAATCACATTCCACATCATGGACCAGGACACGACGTACAATGCCATAATAGGCCGGCCTTGGATACACGCCATGAAGGCCATCCCCTCTAGCTTGTACCAAGTTATCAAACTTCCCACCCCATACCCCATGGGGAGTATTTAGCATCCGAGGAGAACAACGCACTTCCCGAGAATGCTATCGCATCGACAGGATTGCACATACACCCAACAAATGAAGGGCAAATCCAAAGAAGCATAGCAATTAATAGGGTCGAGGTCGAGCGGTAATGAAAGGAAGGATGTCATCAAAGATCCTAGAGGCCATGGGATCAACCGTAGAAGACCTCGACCCCGTCCAACTTGATGATAACGACCACAACAAGAAAGCCTACATCGGCCACAAGCTTCAGGAACCAGGTAAATTTCGTCACTTCTTAACTAACAACGCAAACTTGTTTGCCTTTTCCCATGCAGACATGCCAAGTATCCCGAAGGAGATAGGGACTTACAAGTTGAACGTCGATCCATTTTACCCCCTGGTAAGGCAAGTTAGGCAGAAATTCAATTCTGTAATAAATGATGCAATCCGCGAAGAGGTTGAAAACTGCTGGAAAACGAGTCCATTAGAGAATCAAAATACCCCCAATGGGTCGCCAACGTGGTCACAGTGAAAAATAACAATGGAAAATGGCGGATGTGCGTGGACTATACAGATTTAAACAAAGCATGCCCAAAGGACTCATTCCCGCTACCCCATATCGATCATCTTATTGACGCAACAGCCGAGCACGAGCTGTTAAGCTTCTTAGACGCATACTCGGGCTATAACCAGATCCTTATGGAGGAGGAAGACCAGGAGAAGAACACCTTAATCAACAACCAAGGAACGTATTGCTACAGGGTGATACCTTTCGAACTGAAAAACGCGGGGGTGACGTATGAAAGGTTGGTGACAAGAATGTTCAAAGACCAACTCGGCAAAACCATGGAGGTCTACATAGACGATATGTTGGTCAACTCCAAGAGGAAAGAGGATCACATCGATCACCTAAAAGAAGCCTTCAATATACTCAGGCGATACGGAATGAAACTGAATCCTGAGAAGCGCGCATTTGGCATGACCTCAGGGAAATTCCTGGTCTTCCTAGTATAATAGAGAGGCATCAAGGTCAACCCCGACCAAATCAAAGCTATAGAGGGGATACCGGAGAACTTAACCAACAAAAAACAGGTTCAGAGACTGACCGACCGTATAGCTGCCCTATCGAGATTCATCTCGCGGTCATTCGACAGATGCCACAAGTTCTTTGGCGTACTCAAGAAAGACAACGACCTCCAATGGACCTCCGAGTGCGTCGACGCCCTGAAGAAGTTAAAGGCTTACCTATCATCGTAGCCACTACTTTCCAAAGCGGAGCCTGGAGAATACCTCATAGTCTACCTCGCCGTATCCGAAGTGGCGGTGAGTGCAATCCCGGTCTGAGAAAATAAAGGTACGGAATCTCCCGTCTATTACATTAGCAAAACCTTAGTCGACGCCGAGACGAGGTATCCCCACCTCGAAAAATTGGCCCTGGCAGCTTCACGAAAGCTTAGACCCTACTTCCAGTGCCACCCCATCTTGGTAGTCACGATTTTTTCCTTAAGAAGTATTTTGCATAAGCTCGAACTATCGGGAAGATTGGCCAAATGGGCCATAGAATCTACTCAAATACAGGATCTACTGATTTTGTACACCGATGGTGCCTCTAATGCATCGGGGTTCGGACTGGGACTCGTACTCGAGGTTCCCACAAGAGAGCTAATTCTCCAGTCCATAAGATGCTCGGACATGACTAACAATGAGGTCGAGTATGAGGCTGTGATTGCAGGATTAAGGCTGGCACTCAAGTACGGAGCGAGGCGGATCGTCCTATGCCGCGACTCTCAACTCGTTGTCAACCAAGTCACATGGACTTTCCAGATCAAAGAGCAAAGGTTACAAAAGTATCAGGCCGAGATCTGCAAGCTGCTGCCCGAATTTGATGAATGCCAGCTCGACCAGATCCCTCGATCCCAAAATATCAAAGCAGGCGGCCTCGCCAAACTAGCGGCGACCACTAAAAGCATAATCGGAGAAGGAAATATGGTCAACCTCCTCCACTTATTAATCAATCAAATCGAGGTAAGGACTATAAACATAACTTGGGATTGGCGCAACTCTATTGTTACATACTTGCAGGACGGCTTGCTCCCAGATGATAAAAAAGAACCCAAGAAGCTTCGAATGCAAGCGGCCAGGTACAACGTCATAGACGACGACCTATACAAAAGGACGTATGTCGCCCCCCTAGAAAAATGCTTAGGCCCAAATCAGACACGGCACATTCTAGAAGAAGTCCATTGCAGAGCCATTCCGGCAATCGGGCTCTAGTCAAATGTCTCATACAAGCAGGATACTACTGGCCCACCATGAAAAAAGAGGCCGCTGACTTCATAAGAAAATTTGAGAAATGCAAAAAATATGCCCCTATGATCCACCAAGCGGGCGAGCACCTCCACTCGGTCACCTCACATTGGCCTTTCATCAAGTAGGGGATGGACATCATCGGCCCCCTCCCTGTGGGGCGAGGTAACGTACGATTTCTTTTGGTTTTAAATGACTATTTTTCTAAGTGGGTAGAAGCAGGAGCATTCGCCCAGATACGTGAACAAGAAGTGATCACCTTCATATGGAAAAATATTGTGTGCTGCTTCAGCCTTCCCAAAGAAATCAGTTGTGACAATGGACCCCAATTCACCGGGAAAAATGTCGTCGAGTTCTTCGAGAAGTGGCATATCCAAAGAATACTCTCCACCCCATACCATCCCATAGGCAATGGGCAAGCGGAGTCCTCCAATAAATCAATAGTGAACATCATGAAGAAAAAACTCGGGAACGCCAAGGGACTATAGTCAGAACTACTGCCAGAAGTGCTATGAGCATATCGCACAATGCCAAAAATGAGCACATGAGAGACACCCTACTCATTAGTTTATGGGACTAATGCAATAATACTAGTCGAGTTTGGAGAACCAAGTTTGAGATAATCCCATGAGAGCGGGTCTAGGAACAACGAAAGCAGAAGGTAGGACCTCGACGAAGCTGAAGAACAGAGAGATATGGCCTACATAAGGATGATCGCCCAAAAACAACAGGCAAAACGCTACTACAAAAAAAATCCAAGGTCAGACCACTAAAAGTCGGGGACTACGTACTCAAGGCCATAACACAGGCAAGCAAAGACCCGCCGGAGGGAAAATTAGGAACGAATTGGGACGGCCTATACAAAATCATGGCAACAGCAAACAAAGGTCATTTCAACTAGAAACACTGGAAGGAAAACTATTACCAAACAACTGGAACATCTCCCACCTCAAGTACTTTAACTTCTAAGGAAAAATGTTCTCCGAACCATACTCTTTTTCCCTCACCTGAGTTTTGTCCCAATTGGGTTTTCTCGGGAAGGTTTTTAATGAGGCAACAAGGAGGATATTTCAAGATAAAGTACGAACATATGAGGGCGCAGACCAATTAGTTCATATCCCAACCTCTCAATACTTCTCCATGTCGACCAATGAAGGGACTAGATAGATGCCAGCCCGAAAAACAAGTAAGTTTCTCCGATATATATAAGCAAAGCATAAGTACATGAAGTTTGCCCATGTTTCAGCCAAAACAACGATGCATCAATTAAGCAAAAGTTACATTCGACCTCATTCAAATTAACTAAATATTCGGCCTCGTTCTAATTAACTAAACATTCGACCTCTTTCGAATTAACACATTCGACCTCGTTCGAATTAAGTCACATTTGACCTCGTTCAAGTTAACTCACGTTCAACCTCGTTCGAATTGACTTACATTCGACCTCGTTCAAATTAACTAAACATACGACCTCGTTCGAATTAACTAAACGTTCGACCTCATTCGAACTAACTAAACATTCGACCTCATTCGAATTAACTCACATTCGACCTCGTTCGAATTAACTCACAGTCGACCTTATTCGGATTAACTAGACACTCGACCTCATTCGAATTAACTTATGTTCGACCTTGTTCCACTTACCACCCTCGGCCATGGACAAAACCAAAATTATTATGATTAAGGCGACCAAATGATAGAATCACACAAGACCAAGCAAAGAAGATTTAGATATATCCTTTACAAGGGCTAAACAAACTCCCACAAAAATTACAAGGGAATAACTACTCAGCAATGCCATCTCCACTATCGTCATCTCCATCAGAGTACGCATCCTCGTACCAGGCACCATGATCGATCCCATCCAAATACTCCTCACCATCACCAGTCCTCGGTGTAGCAGGGTCATAACCACTAGCGACCGAGCTGCACACGCCTTAGCACGAGCATCCTAAAAAATAGCCTCAGGAACTCTCCCCGCCGTCACCAAATCCCTGAATATGTCTAGCTAGGTCTCGGCGTGGATCCACTTCTCATAAAAATCCCGCGAAACATCGGGATAAGCAGAAGTGTGAGAGGAGGAAGGCTGAGCCAACAACTACGTCTTATCGGCCTCGAGAGCAGCGATTTGATCACCTAGGTTCGAGACCTCTTTTTCTAGCCCCCCAATTTGCTCGTCAAGTCGTGCTTCCCTAAGCATAGCCGTCTCTAAATCGTTTGCCCACTCGGACCGGAGGACACGAATCGTATCCTCCAATGCCTCCACCTTTGCCAAAGCGGCCAACCGAGCCAACTCAGCCTTCTCCAAATCTGCCATCTTCTCGACTACTTCATCACTCAAAGTGTTGGCTCTAATTGAACACTGCTCGAGCTCGCCCCGCAGAGATACCACTTGGGTCTGAAGATCCACACACCCAACCTCAACTCCCTTGCTTACTTCGAGCTCTTCCTTTTTATCTCTTAGCACCCCCTCGAGCTCGTTGCATTTAATGATGTCTCTCATAAGCTCATCATCTTTCTGCTTTAGCTCGTCTCTGATAGCTTGGAAATTACCACTCATACCGAACCGCATGCAGATCTCACGATGCTTGATGCAGTACTTCTTCTCTATTTCTTAAAAATGGCTTTACGCCTCTACTCTTGGTGACCACTCTCAATCTCCAAGATAATGGTCTAAAACAAAGAAGAAAGCAAAAGAGAAAGAAAGTCTGTCTAAAAAGAGAGAGAGAGAGAGAGAGAGAGAGAGAGAGAGAGAGAGAGAGAGAGAGAGAGAGAGAGAGAGAGAGAGAGAGAGAGAGAAAGATGCAAGACATAGAAACTCGTAAGATCGGAAAGCTTACCCTCAGGGCGAGGCTGGCTATGCCCGATGACAGGGCGACATCATTGAACGTCTCTATGGTCCTTCCCTCCGCATTAGAACAGAGGGTACCCAAGGAGGGGACCACGTCCTTCGTGTTCACCAATAGGTCACGGTCCATGGGGACTACGATGGTATGAGTAGACCCCTCCAACCTCACCTCCACCTGAGTAAATCCTTCACTCAACATCCGCACCTCCTCGGGATTAATGTCAGAACCGATTTCATAACCGTCCTTGGCAGTGCCCTTTCCTCTCTCCTCTTCCGACGAAGGAACACCGACCGGTCCCGAGGATGACGGCTCGTTTCTCAGCACGGCATCCGCAGCCTCATATAGCCCTCCAACTTCAACCGCAACCTCGAGTAAAGGAACATCTTCTACGACCCCCGTTGGCAGTGGAGTTTCGTTCATAGATTTGCGTCGCTCTCTGATGCAACCACAACCGGCTCACTATCGCTCCTTGTAGAGTCCACCTCTCTAACTGCCCCGTTGCCGATATCCACCACCATCCTCTTGAGCGTAACCTGTGAGCACGTGATTTTTGCCTTATATGAATTACTCCCATAAATTCAAAACAAAATAATTCCTTTTCAGTGTTTGCAATTTTGTGGTTTTTGTGGCATTTTCTGTTAATTGTTTGCATTTTTGTCTGTGCATTTTAATTAGTGAAAAATACAAAAATATATGTGCATTTGCATTTAGGGTCCTATTTCATATTTGTTTTTAGGTTAATTAGTTAATTAATTGTGGCAAAATATGAAGAAAATATCAAAAATAGCTCTTTCGCATTTTGACTTTTTTTTTAATTTTCGAATTTTATAGTTTTCTTTTAATTTAGGACTTAGTTAATTTTGGAGAGTGCAATTAGTTATTAATTTTGTTTTAGAGTTAAATCAGGTTTTTATTTTTGTATTTAACAAAATCTGAAAAAAAAAAGAAGAGAAAAAGAAAAAGAAAATGAAAAGAAAAATGGTCTTTAATAAAAAATAAAATTGTTTTGGCCAATTCAATTTAGCTACAGGCCCAAACCATCCTTCCTCCATTAACCCCCCCAAGTTTACCCGTTCCAACCCAGCCCAGTCTCCCCAAAACCCGGTCCATCCCTTTAAAACCCAAATTGCGTCGTTTTTATAACGGCCAATCTTGGCCATTGATTTCCGTTGATCCGACGGATGGGAACTGGGGGGGGGGGGGTTAATATATAAGTGTCTGAAACGTTACCCCCCCTCTCACTCATCTCTCTCGTTCCCCCCTCCTTTTCAGAGACGAAACCCTAATCCCACCACCAGCCGCCGCCGGAAATCGCCCTACGGTGGCGGCGAGTCTCCAATCCCAACCAAAATTACACCACAAACCCACCTTGACCCCCTCTTTCCAAATCTCCGGTCGCTTTCCCTCAAACCCCTCTAGAACTCTTCAAATCTTAGATCCACGGAGGCAGAACCCTATAGCCGCCCACTTTCTCCGGTGGCGGCGCCACCTCCAAACCGCTTCAAAATTACACCACAGAACCACCCCAACCTCCCCATCCCAAATATCCACCTAGCTGCCTTCGAACACCCCTCAAACTGCTCGAATATTAAATCAAAGCATGAGCCCTAATTCCCAAGAAGGTCTCAAGTTCGATGCTGCTTGAAGATTTGGGTCAATTTCGATTTTATTCGTGTGTTCTTATTAAGAACACACGATTAACGTCGTAATAGGACAGAAAATCCAAAGAAGTTGAAATTTCTATCCTTTCTTTCATGCGTTGGAGTCTCTGTAGGTATTTCTTTTTATCTTGTTGTTCTTTTGTTAGTTTTTCTTTCTTCTTTACTTTTTTATTTTTATTTTTTACCTTCCGTTGTCATCTGTTTCTCCCCCTTTCTTGTGGACTCTTTTGCTTCCCTAGTTTCAGAGTGTCTACATGCATTGTAGTTTTAAGAAAACCTTTTTCTCTAATTCAGTTTGTTAATCATTAATTCTAGTTCATTAGTTCGATTTTGAAATTATTTGAATTGTTTTGCTTTGTTTCTCCCCAGTTAGTCTGTTTGTACTTGGGCTGGGTGGGGGGTTCATACTTTTACGCTTAGGCTGATGATATGGGCTGGCCTTCAAAATGGGTCAGTCTAGGGTCGACTTGACCCATAACCCGTCTGAGGTTCAGGGGTAAAAATAGGCTGATTAAGAGGTAAATCGGGGAGATTACTCAAGGAATCTTTCAGTTGCAACCTGAGGAAGCTTCCTAGAAGCTGGGGTGGGGGGTTGTTATGTTAATTTGGTAATTTTATTGAGGGTAGTTGAGCAAAGAAGAGAATAAACTAGGTGTATCTAGGCAAAAAGGAAAATTGGAAAAGGGCCCATATGCAAAACTGAAAACTTCAGGCTGCCCTACTTGCCTTGCCTATAAAGGCACCCTAAACTTGCCTTGCAAGGCAGACCAAAGAAGCTAAGAGACCCAAAGAGAAGGAAAAATTCTGCAATTAACAAAACAGCTGAAAATCTTTGACAAAATACTGTTCCATTGAGTTTCAGCTTTGCAATTTGAAATCTTCATTTCCTGAATCAATTTTCTGATTGTTTTGGGTACTAAAATGGTTTGAGGTCGAGTCACTTAAGCTTGGTCTGTTGTTTGGCTGGGGTGTTGCTTG